AAGTCCAACGAGGCCTAGAAGATGACACGCCCTTATAGCATCCGCTGAAACTCAATACTTCCTCTCGGCAAAGATATATAAGCCTCCAACAGGGCCAGAATAAAACAGTCACTTCACCATCGGCGGAATCCCTCGTCAGATGTCCCCAAGGTCCACCTCATCGACCATGTAAACCAGTAAGATTCTTCTTAAATCTCCGTCTTGCTCCTAGCTCGACTTTTATCTGTTCACGAAACATTCCTAGTACAACTGTTTTTGTGTATGGATATTCTCAAGTCTTCCACTCTGCCTCGACCACGACTGCCTGTACTCAGTGAAAACTGTTAAAGGTCTTCCAAGGTGCAGAGAGGTACTGGAAAACTCCCCACATCCTGACTGTTCCTCTCGGTTAACACAGTATAGCGAGAGTCGACAGGATCGCACACCATAGCTTAAGTCGACTGGATACCTCACCATATGCCAATATACTGTTTGCCTATACAGTAGAACCTCTCTTTAGCGGACACCTCTCTATAAGGAACAGTTTTCATTTGCAAAATTAACATTTTTACTATTTAGCAATTCTCCGGTAAGAGGACACCTCTCCCTAAAGGACACTTTGGCCCTGCAATTAGGTGTCCTTCACAGGGAGGTTCTACTGTATATATATTTTTTAACCGCTTGAAAAGGGTGATACCTCGAAACATCAAGAATATAAAAGCACATATTCAATCATAATTGCATTTTAATTCTATATATCCACAAAATATATTTTTTTCTCAAAATCTTAATAAAGGATTTCAACATTGTCAATCAAATCTTGAAAAGTAAATTCAACCGAATACTCTTCAATATAAAGAATATAGTGAAGTTATTAACGACAAACAAGCAGAAGGAGAAAAAACTAATAGTAATAACAATAAAGAATTTGTGTTAACTTGTAGAATCGAACAAAAATGACAATTTAATGAAATATTTCTTGCAACATTGTGAATATATAAGTGAGACCAATGCTTTGCGTTTCTTAAAAGGTAAAAATAAAGTATCAGAGTATTAACAAATTACCAAAATAATGTTGCATGAATTTTTTTATATTGCTCTCTAAAAAATAAGAATTTAACTATTATTTAATCAAATACTCAACCTTTTAGACTTGCTTTGTTTATTCTAAATTTCTTGAATTTACATATTTACAGATATAACAAATTGCATATTTACAAAAAAAAAAAAACCCCCTTACCTACCCAGATATTTCAATTTTGGTCAAATGTTCTACATGGTCTCCTTAGGAAGGTTTTAAATAGCATTTACCCTTACGTAATTTTGAATTTTATATAAACATGAAGTCACATAAAAATAGTATAATAACAATTAAAATATTTTTCTTAAATTGAACCGTATAAGAATACAGTATATAGAAACTCCATGGGAGGACACTTCTCAATAAAGAATAGGTTTCATTGCCATTTTTACTAAATATTTCCTGAAATAGGAAACTCTAATCTCTAAAGGAATATGTCTCTGCAACAAGGTGCTCATTAGGGAAAGGTTCTACTTCATATCTCTCTACATACTAGTTATGATTGAGTTTAATCATGTTCTGATAAGGGGGTCGGTGGAAGGATGGTCTAAACCGTTGGTTTACGACCGCTACGACCCGGGTTCGATTCCCGCATTGGGGCCTTTTTTTTTTATTAAAAAAAAAAAATGCTCAAATGGCCCCTGATTCGTACAAAAGTCCAATATCACCAACGAGTGCAAGTAACCAAACAGGCCTCTGGCACATTTGTAAGTGAAAAGTCGAACTGCTTTTCACATGTGTAGACATGTGGTGCACTTACAGTAAAAGCAATCGCCTTCTACCCACCATGATTATCATGGCCTGTACCACGTGTACTAGGGATAAGAAAAAAAAAAGTTCTAATAAAGACATTAAAAGCCAATAGTGAAAAAAAAGTTTGTTATTAACATATTCAAGAGCATTATCCATGCGAGGCTGTATATTTTAAAGATTAATAAAACCCGAAAATGTAAATCAATATATTACAATCTAACTAATCATCTTTCACATAAATTATCCAATACAGTATATGATAAATCATAAATCAACCATACCGTTATCAATAAAAATATATCAAAAAGTAATATCAATAAGTACAAAGTAATAAGTCAAAATAAATAATGTGTGACGTTTATGTAACAGCGTTGTTACCGTTATTTATTTGGTCTTATTACCTTGTTTTTATAATCTACTAGCGGACGTACCCGGCTTCGCCCGGGTTTTACTTGAGTAAAGGTTTGTCTAACGAATCTCTCGATAAAGTGAACATTTTTTCCCGGTCCCTTGAAAAATACTCGATAAGTTGAATAAAATCAATATTAATTGGTTCCCTCGGTAATTGGAAGTTAAAGGAATAGTATCTTGCCTTGGGATTGTATCATTATTCTTGTCTCAAATAAATTGCCGTGTCATCCTGAATTTTGTCTTTCCTAATTTTCTACATTACAAAATCATCGTATCATCATGATAATATTTAGAGCAGATTGTTGAATTATAACAGATGATTTAGAATATTTATCTTGATTATTTTTAGGCGAAAAGTTATTTCAAAAATTTAATTTGCTAGAAACCTTCCCAGTACTATACTAAATAACTTCCCAAAGTTTCATGGCGTTCCAATGAGTGGTTTGGTCAGGCATAAAGGACAGACAGACACACATAAATTCATTTTTATATATATACTAGCGGACGTACCCGGCTTCGCCCGAGGTTTTACCCGAGTAAAGGTTTGTCTAACGAACATTTGTTAAAGCAATTCTCTATAAACTTGAAAAAAAAAGATATATTTTGATAATTTGAAACTTGTAAATTTGAATCTCTCGATAAAGTGAACATTTTTTCCCGGTCCCTGTGTGCCGTGTCATCCTGAATTTTGTCTTTCATAATTTTCTACATTACAAAATCATCGTTTTATCTAGTGAACATATTTTCCCGGTCCCTTGAAAAATACTCGATAAGTTGAATAAAATCATGGTCGTGAATATCTCGATAAAGTGATTATTTTTTCCCGGTCCCTGTGTGCCGTGTCATCCTGAATTTTGTCTTTCATAAATTTCTACATTACAAAATCATCGTTTTATCTAGTGAACATATTTTCCCGGTCCCTTTAAAAATACTCGATAAGTTGAATAAAATCATGGTCGTGAATCTCTCGATAAAGTGATTATTTTTTCCCGGTCCCTGTGTGCCGTGTCATCCTGAATTTTGTCTTTCCTAATTTTCTACATTACAAAATCATCGTTTTATCTAGTGAACATTTTTTCCCGGTCCCTTGAAAAATACTCGATAAGTTGAATAAAATCAATATTAATTGGTTCCCTCGGTAATTGGAAGTTAAAAGAATAGTATCTTTGCTTTGGAATTGTATCATTATTCTTGTCTCAAATAAATTGCCGTGTCATCCTGAATTTTGTCTTTCCTAATTTTCTACATTACAAAATCATCGTATCATCATGATAATATTTAGAGCAGTTTGTTGAATTATAACAGATAAATTAGAATATTTATCTTGATTATTTTTAGGCGAAAAGTTATTTCAAAAATTTAATTTGCTAGAAACCTCCCCAGTACTATACTAAATAACTTCCCAAAGTTTCATGGCGTTCCAATGAGTGGTTTGGTCAGGCATAAAGGACAAACAGACCACACACACACACACACATACATTTTTATATATATAGACAAGCGGACGTACCCGGCTTCGCCCGGGGTTTTACCCGAGTAAAGGTTTGTCTAGCGAACATTTGTTAAAATAATTCTCTAAAAACTTATTTAAAAAAAAAAGATATATTTTGATAATTTGAAACTCGTAAATTTGAATCTCTCGATAAAGTGAACATTTTTTCCCGGTCCCTGTGTGCCGTTTCATCCTGAATTTTGTCTTTCCTAATTTTCTACATTACAAAATCATCGTTATATCTGGTGAACATTTTTTCCCGGTCCCTTGAAAAATACTCGATAAGTTGAATAAAATCAATATTAATTGGTTCCCTCGTTAATTGGAAGTTAAAGGAATAGTATCTTCGCCTTGGAATTGTATCATTATTCTTGTCTCAAATAAATTGCCGTGTCAACCTGAGATAATCTTACTTTTGATAAATAATATTTAAGATAACAAACTTAGTGATAAGAAAACTTGTTATCATCGTCACAATGGGGGCGCTGCTTGCGAGTTAAATCTACAAATCTGCAAATAACTCTAAGGGTATTCAAGATATTCATGAAATTATTTTTCAAAAACCTTCCCGGTGATATACCTAATAATATCCCAAAATTTCACGGCGATTGGATGTATGGTTTTTGAATCTATAGAGTACAGACAGACAGACATTCAATTTTATATATATAGACTAGCCGAATGACCCGGGCAACGCCCGGGTTTTACCCAATTAAACGTTTTTATTCAAATACTATTCGTTACAATTATAAATTGGCGCCGTGGATGTCACTCTTGTGAAACGTCCCGCTCCAAACTTTGTGTCTGAGAAGCGATATTTTTATAGAAAGATGATCTAGCTTTTGTTTTCTGCTCGAATGAATGTTTTTCTGTTAGAATTTTGTTCCCGCGTACGAAATAATGAACTGGTTTCACCCGTGGTCTCTGCTTTTTGGAATTTTTCCCGATATAATTTTGTATCTGAAAATCAAACATGATACAGCAATATCGTCATCATCATTTTCTGAATAAAAATATATAGTTTTAATAATTGATTTATATATTTTTTAAAATAGCCTATCGTCTTCCCCGTATTTTTTTACCTATATATGGAAGTTTTGGTTTGAATTAGTGAACTACTGCGAATTTGTATACCGGACATACAGACAGACATACAAACATTCATTTTTATATATATAGAGATATAGATAATCCAAATTATATCATAATATCAATGTTTTATAGATTATTTGTATAACCCGAACTCCTGGAGCGTACGAAAATTGCTAACTGTCCGAAAAAAAATACTGTAACCAAGATTCGAACCTGAGTTATTGTGGCCACAACGAAATGTCCTAACCACTAGACGATCATGGCAGGTATGGTATCAGAAGTGGAATTCTGCTGGGAAATTTTAGATAAACTTAAATAAATTTACAAAAATAACATCTTCTGATCGTGCCATAAAAGTTGAAATATGAAATAAAATTTGCTTTAAAAAAAGTACATAAACTGACAAAAATCCTAAAATGTATTAAAAACTTTCTATAGAATCGAACTAAATCATAAAAATAAAATAACAAAAAAAGCGTTATTATTTATAAGTTTGTCTCAAAAGTTCGTAAACACATATACAATCATATATTAAGAAAAAATTGCTATAAATTATAAATATAAAAAATATATAAACGGTAACACAATGTGTTTATTTATAAATAAAAAAAAAACGCATTGCTATCGTTTATATTTGTCATGTTTATATCTTATTCAATAGATGTTAACGAACATTTAGGACAACCTTGTAAATTATTTGAATAGTGGTTATATAAATATGACAAAAGGTATTACTACTTATAAAAAGAATAAATGATAAAATTTTATTATAATTAAAAACAATGGGGAAAATATTTACATTCAAATATCCTAGGCGACGCGTTTTTCCAAAATAGGAACGGCCTCCTGACAGATTCCATCGACCTTTGTTGAATCACTTTCTGGTTTGACTCCACGCTTTTTTTTCTTATTTTTACTGGATTTAACAGGTACCGCCTCTTCGCAGATTTCTTTGACCTTTGTTGAATCATTTTCTGGTTTGATTACAGGCTTTTTATTTTTAATAATTTCGGCTTTAACAGGAACCTCCTTTTCGCAGATTTCATTGACCTTGGTTGAATCACTTTCTGGTCTTTTGACTACACGCTTTTTCTTTTTAATAATTCTGGATTTAACAAGAATTTTCTTTCCTGGATACCGTTTCATCAACATAGGCATAACCACAATTTTTCGTTCTACTTTTGGTTTATTGTTGTATTCCTTAACAGCGTTATTCCTTGATACAGAATCTCTAAGTTGAACAAATGCAAATTTACGTTTTCCATGCTTTGCATAGCAAATCTCAGCTGTTACAGCCCCATATTTTGAAAACAAAGAAATCAAAGTGTTTTTGGTAACGTCATGTGAAAGTCTACCTACATATATAAATTTGGAGATTTTTTCATCAATCTTCACTTGTTTAGCCATTTTTATTTCTGAAAACAATATTTTTTAACGATTCTTTCACGTCAGAATTTACAATTCTTTTGAGATATTTCTAAAACGTTTTAAAGATATATTCTATAAGAACTGATTATAATTTATAAACTATTCTGTTTATATAAATATATTCACAATATATATATTATATGAATATATTAAAATATATTCTAATTATAAAATGAATATTACCTCTCCATATATACATAATCAATTTTATTATATATAAGGAAATTAAAAAGTAGAAAAATGTTCAGCAATAAACACAATTAAATTTATAATACAATATAATGCGGCATGTGATTGTAAAACGACATTTAAAGATTATCCCGCATGAGTTTCTTTTCCACGAAAAATCAAAATTTATTTAAAGGAGAAATAATCGTTATTTCTCTTTAAAATGAAATTTGATTTTTCGTGGAAAAGAAACTCATGCGGGATAATCTTTAAATGTCGTTTTACAATTAAATTTACTTGACATTAAAAAAATTCTAATTAAATAAATTTTATATAATAAAATACTTTAAAATAAGCTTTTATCAAAATTCACTAATAAAGAATTTATAATTTTTTTAGATACTACCAAAAAAATAACAAATTTATATGGCTAAAATAAAAATAGCGGGGACTCTTTTAATGAAATTCGAAAATCTTTATTTGATTCAAAATGAGACAACTCTCATCCCCTGAGGAGAATAAGAGCGAGTCACTAAAACATGGAGAATTGAATAAATTATTTGTTGTTGTAGATGTATTTATTCCAAACCAACTTACAATCAGGTATCCATGTTTTCATTACATTTTTCACCTTTTCTCTCATTATATAAGCTTGTTTCAAAAGTTTATAAACATATTATGATTTATTTTGAAAATAAAGAAATCCATATTTAAATCATTAGATAATAAAAAGGCATATATTGTATTTAATAAAATATTTATTTGTCAATATTTCGGTTGGCTGAACGCCAAACCTTTATCAATGCATTACATTTTTGTATAAACAAACTCAGCGTCGCATATTGTTATAATATTTATATAATTAAAATCGGCGGCGATCAGAAAGAGAGAGTAGATAAAACATCCCGTAAATTCTTATGCATTTGCCACAGGACATGGCCATGTTCGGGCATACTTGGTTCTCTGGTGTCCTAGGGAAGCCCCATCTTGCCTACATTGTATGGAGGAACAATAGACTGTGGACCACCTTCTATTCAGATGCCCTGCTTTCATGCGACACAGAATGCAGACAGCCCTGCTGCTTGAGAAGACCTCCTTCGACCCAGTCTCGTTGGCTGGACTCCCGGGTTCTCTGCAGGCATGGAACTTCCTGACCAGCTGGTTCGGCTCTGCAATTGGCTGTATGTAAATATAATCTAGAGGTTTCTACTAGTTAGCTGGACAGCCCGGGCAGTTGGCGTTTCTCCAGGGGCCTGGGTTATCCTTATTTCTATTTTATGCATTTATTAAATCTCTTTTGTTCTTGACTATTTTAAGGTAAATATTTTCTATTTGATCTTGTTAACTATGATTTTGTATTTCGGTGGGTCATCTGATATATATCTCTCAATATCATAAATCATAAGTATGTAAATTTATTGTTTGTATAAAAATAGTATTTATCATTACATAATTTATTGGCGTGATATTCCAGTTGAAGGACTGACAAGTGTGAAAGCTTGAAAATAAAAAGTTGCACAAGAAACTTAGCTGTGGAACCTCGTTTATTTCATAATAAAAATAATCTGATATTTGGGACACCTTTTTACTGACTTTTTCAGGCTTTTACAGGAACAGCTTTTGGGTTTTATTCCAGATTCCATTGTGAAGTACATTCACCCAATCCCAGTCAACTTCGTAAATTTTATCTGTTACTTGTATCGTTTATGCCAAGCCCTCCCTTTATTTGATACACTGTAAATAACATTGATGATTGCTTGTACTACAAGTATTGTACTTGTATTCCTGCATTTCTACTTGGAGAATCTGTATAAGACCGAAAAAGGGTCAATAAAGTTTTTGTTGTTGCTGTATTACTTGTATGGATTATGTTAAGCCCTCTCTTCATTTTCCCCCCTTTATTTGATACACTGTAGATAACATTAATGATTTCTGTTATTACTGTTTGTAGCCTACCTTTCTACTTGGAGAATATGTATAACACTAAAAAAAATCTTAATAAAGTTTTTGTTGTTGTATTACTTGTAAGGGGACATTTGATAAGTTTTTTTACTCAGATTCCATGTTTTAGTGATCATTTATCCTATCTTTCAAGGTTTTCAGGAATCTCCAATGTAATTCATTTTTGTAATTTTGACATTTTATTTTATATAATAAGTTTCTATTTTATTTTCATTAGTTTTAAGGCCTTTCATTATTTGACATTTTACTTCAACTGTAAACTGGTCATAAATTGTGTGTGGTAATATGTATTTCTGAATTATCTTTAATAATAAAATACATCCTTATTATAATACTATAATGATGGCCTGTTCAATGAACACGTATAGAACGAGAGCCAGTTCTAAGCTATGTAAAATTGACCTTAATTGGCTGCTCTAGGCATGGATTGTATTATGTTCCCAAGACCTCTCGACCAGATCCCTCAGAATTGCTTCCACTCCAAGCCATCTCCTCAAATTTCTACCAAAAATCCTCCATGGAGAGGCCACCACGACCATCTTCACTGCTATAGCCATGTACTGGCAGACATTACACGTGTACATCCCGAAACAGACCCTACCTGCAACCACTGTTGAGAAGATCCACAGACAATTGATAATCTCCTCTTCAGCTGTCCAGCATTCCTTAGACAAAGAATGCAAACAACTATCCTGCTTGGACTGACCCACCCCAATTCTACATCTATGGCCAGACATCCAGACTCAACTTCAGCATGGAACTTGCTTGCCAACTGGTTCAAATCAGCAAGCAAAACAGGATGCAAATACAAGTGCTAACTATTCCATACTAGTAAGCTAAACTTCCCGAGTATTTTGCATTCTGAGCTACAGGAACCCGAGTTTTACAAATATCTCTCTCTTCTATCTATTAGATATATATAAAATTGAATGTCTGTCTTTCTGTTTGTTTGTTTGTACTCTATAGATTCAAAAACCATACATCCAATCGCCGTGAAATTTTGGGATATTATTAGGTATATCCCCGGGAAGGTTTGTGAAAAATAATATCTTGAATATCTTGAATATCCTTAGAGTTATTTGCAGATTTGTAGATTTAACTCGCAAGCAGCGCCCCCATTGTGACGATGATAACAAGTTTTCTTATCACTAAGTTTGTTATCTTAAATATTAAAATGAATGTATGTCTGTTTGTCCTTTATGCCTGACCAAACCACTCATTGGATCGCCATGAAACTTTGGGAAGTTATTTAGTATAGTACTGGGAAGGTTTCTAGCAAATAAAATTTTTGAAATAACTTTTCGCCTAGAAATAATCAAGATAAATATTCTAATTTATCTGTTATAATTCAACAATCTGCTCTAAATATTATCATGATGATACGATGATTTTGTAATGTAGAAAATTAGGAAAGACAAAATTCAGGATGACACGGCAATTTATTTGAGACAAGAATAATGATACAATTCAAAGGCAAGATACTATTCCTTTAACTTCCAATTACCGAGGGAACCAATTAATATTGATTTTATTCAACTTATCGAGTATTTTTTCAAGGGACCGGGAAAAAAATGTTCACTTTATCGAGAGATTCGTTAAACAAACCTTTACTCGGGTAAAACCCGGGCAAAGCCGGGTACATCCATACAAGAATAATGATACAATTCCAAGGCAAGATACTATTCCTTTAACTTCCAATTACCGAG